GAGGTGACCCTGAAAGGTTACTAACGTAGCATAAAGCCACACATACCTACACTCTCTGTTAAAACCTTCCTCGTTCATGTTTAAGACATCTAACTGTGTCTTTTGTCCAACATTTTTTGTCTCCCATCTAGAAACAGAATTCACGTAACAGTCGCGACGATATTCCCTCGTAACAATAATGATAAGCAATAAAGCGGATGGAACTTAATTGCTCGTCATAGGCCGAGACGATTAATTCGAATCGCCCCCTCCTCCCAGTCAGCTGCAATACTCGGCTAATTATTGAAATAATCGAAAACGACCATTGCCACCGCGACGCCGATAATGTGTCTCCAGATTAACAAGCGTCCAATAAAACAGCATTATACCAATATATCGACGGATTCGCGATAATTACTCTAGTTAGATAAATAGTAGAAATATGCGCGGTTGGATTACCGAGGGAACGCCCCGGGGCCAACACGAGAAATAAAATCATATAGCGATCGTGGTGCTCGAGTAAATTCAAACGAATGGTTTGAAGTTCTTTCAAAATAAATTATTGGCCGTGCAAATATTTATAAATACCTGTCTCACTGGTTTCGACATTATCTGTAGCAATAAATAATACAATACTTTTTCTTTAATATATTGATGATATCGTTTAAAGTGAAAATTATACAAATACATATAATTTGAGTATTAATAATAAGCGGAGTACAAACATGGCTGTCACGCGAGAACAATGTCGAGCAGGACACTCACTGACGAGTGGTTCATTTCCTATTACATAGGATTTGATTTGAAAATGATTTCAATTATACGTGAAAATAAATCAACATTTCTATAATATACTTATAAGGGAACTTCGATACCCCAAATTACCATTCTCCGCAATTTACTGACACACCATATATTCTGTTCGACATTCCGTGGATCCCGTTTAGGATCGTTCTTATCAACACGAGAATAAAAAAATCTCGTACACCTATTCCAAGCTAGAGGGACAAAAAAAGGAATAACTATCATGAAGTCTGTCGTGGGTTCCCAGTGATCGGAGCGCACGATTTCCCGGACGCACGCTCGTTCGCGTGTGAACCACGCATAAAAATGTATCACGTCGAACCTAACGAGATCGCGCCGCGAATTAATCCCTGCGTCCCGGATATCCGTTGGACCCCGGTGTCACGTTCGCCTAAGGGAAACGCGTCACGTTCTGTATTAATATTTTTTTCATACACAATGCTGGCCGTCCTTACGAAGACACGGCGCCATCCAGACTCGTGGAAAACAATTGTACCGGTTCATATGGAAAACGTGCGATGAAAATCGTGTCGCTCGATATTCTTCCTACCAGAGAACCTCTAATACATTTCTCAACTGATATAGTCGGTACTTCTTTCAGAAAAATAAAATAGAACAGAATTTTTATGATTTTTCGATCTTACGGCCATGAAAAAGCACTTGGTTTGCAATATGTTATATACAGGGTGTCTGATTTAAATGTGATTAATCAACAATTCTTATGACCTTCACGTTTTTTTTTTTTTGACACGATCGAGTTATATTTGTTTAAATAGGTTTTCTTTGGCGATGGTCAAACGTTCGCTGCTTTATTGGAAATTAAATGGCCAATAAATAGATATTGAACTGTACAAATGGTAAAATTTTATTCAATTCCATAACTAAAGTTACGTTGGAACACGACAGAATTTAATTATGTTTCATTACTTTGTTACATTTTATTCTTATTTCCGTCACTTGCAATAAAAATTAATCGTGCTTCTTTCAGACGAATCGAGTTCTTTACCGTAGTATTTGCTTAATAATTTCACAATTAACGGGTGGCTGCCACCTTCGACAGTGTCCTCTTGCAACTAGGTGCATTTTGTTTCAGCCATAGCAATTACGTGAAATTCTTCAGGCATCGTTTCCTGTACACCATAATTAATTGTAAGAACGTCCGCAGTAAATAAATTTGTACACAATGTCGAATAATTTTCAATTAAAACCAGAGCTAAATTGCACCACCGACGCAGTTTTATGTTTAATTAAAATTTTCCGCGACCCCGTGTAATTAATCTCATCTTCACTGAAACAGTCTGCAATCACTTATTAAAAAAATAGTGAACGGTACTTCGTTAATTTTCCATCGAATACCATCGTCGTAATATCAAATTCAATGAAAAAAAAAGAAAACACTAAATAACAGTAATAGTCGTATTCAGTAGATCGTGAGCGTAACACTCGCGTAATGAACGTCCGATCTAAATATTCATGTTCGTTTCGGGAAAAACAAATCGTCCGTGAAAAGAAAAAAAAAAACAAGCGAACGGGATCCATTCCAAAATGACGCGAACATTATTTCCAAAAAGAATTTAACTTCGCGCACGCGTTTCGACCCGATAAAAATGTTCGAGCACCCGAACCCGCCTGAAATCCAATATCTTCCGTTTTCACGGAAGCTTGGAATAAAATCGCTCTAAAAATGGCGGACGTCGCTCCATCGTTCGAAGTGTTTAAAACATTTAAACGGGGTACTGTATTCCTGTTGCTCTATTCTTATACACAGAGCCGCTGAATATTCGTGGAACAACGAGAATTTCAATGACAAAAGTTATATTTCAATTCGAAGGTTAATATTGTGGTGTGCACCTGTTCATTTAGGTTAGGTCACGTGACTTTCGTTGGGACGCGAACATTCTTCTTGAAACTCGGGGAGATGAAGCGTGACGGGACGGAGGAGGAAAACTTGTCTCGCCAACAAGAAAGTACATGTACATATATACCTATATCTTCAAAAAACTTAACAAACAACACTCAGTGTGCCTAAGTTTAGCCTTTACGGGAATTTGTTATAAGTTCCGTGTCTTGTGTTCCTACTACTTAACGGAAGTTGGGACTTCTCCCATTTTGGTTTGCTACCCGCCTAGCGACATATAAAGGTTGCAAATCCAAGTGTGTTTCTAAAAGTTTTTACCATCTCAACTTATATGCAATATTTAATAAGAAAGTCCTTTAAACTACATATTGTACATATTATACAAGTTGAATACGTTAACCCCTACTTGTTTTAACTAACCCTAATCCAGACCTAACCCAGACCTGCCCAAAGATAAATTGGGGTACTTATATCTCGGATATTTCAAACGGAATCAGTCGAACAGCTTGAAAAGTTCATCCACTCAAAAATTCCAAACGGGATCCAGTAACTGCACTAAAATCCTCCACAACCCTACCGAACGATTTTTCCCGCCCGAACACTTGAAAACTCGGTCCCAAATATTCTCCGAACCTGGCGTATAATCCTGCCTGGATCGAGGGCATCGATACAGAGACCTCCGGTTGTTATTTATTCCCAGAGCCAACGGACCGTTTTAAAATCGTGTCTCGGTTTTATTCGTGCCCCAAGTCTGAAATTCCGAATGTGGCCGCGCACGATCCTCCTGGTTTAATCTCCGTTTCACAGGATGCTCGCGATAAAAAAAAAACAAACACGCCCGGGTGAGGTACAACGACAAATTCAGGACACAAAATAGACGGTTTGTCAAATAGAAAGACAGTTTCTCTACCGTTGCACGGTGAAATAGCGAAGGTCGGCGTACGTAGCGAGGGAGAATCGGTTGAAAATTCAACGCAGTCGGCTGTGGAAAACCGTGGAGAATTATTCCACAGGGTGCTAATTGCTAATTCATCCGGGGCGGATATTAAGCAGAGCCGGGTTTTCATTTATTTACGCCGCGATTCGTTTAGATCCGACTTAATGTAAAATGATTTTCACCGGCGGTGAAGGGTCGGGGGACATTACCGCGGGGCACAATGAGCTTAACCCGGGCTTCTCTGTCGTCGACGAGTAATTTGTTTAATGTTCGACCGTTTAAACCGATTTCCGTAAAGTGTGTGGAAGAAAGATGGAAGGTCGTGACACGTTACAGGGTGTATCTTCGGTTGGCTTTTCTTGCACGGAATTATGGGGAAATTGTGCTGCGTGTCCACTTGAAGGTTTATTTTTAAGATCATATATCTGTTTCTGAAGTTAATGGAATTTTCGAATGAAAAATGCATGATGACGTCTATCAAACTATTACAGACTAGTTACGTAATAGTAATACGAATATCTTGTAGCGCCCCATTACATCACGTTTCTTAATTCAATACCCCAAATGTAAATGTAAACACGCGAAACATGAAGTATTCAGCGAGCTGCGTATAATCTGTTAAGCCTATTAAAGAAGAAACCGGACGCACGGCTGCTGCTGCATTCGTAATTATTAGCCCGGTAAATATTTAATTTCCCGTTGCGAGCCCGAGTTTATCAGTTTTTCGCGAAACGAATAATATCGCTGAATTATTCACCACGGCCTTTGATTTAACTGGCTTCGATCCATCAGGAAAACATCTGGAAACGTTGTTGTCCCGGTGACAGTAGAGTGAAGTGAAAATGTTTCGGCGATCCATCTAAAGACTATCCATCTCTCCAATACACATCGTTTGGGGGAAAAAAAAATTGTTCGACGCGAATGAACGTAACTTGACAAATACGATTACTTTTCCTTCGATACATCGAACAAATATAAAAAATTAATAGTAAACAATTTTTAGGTTTATAATGCCTTATAAAATATAACAAACGCCGTGTTCAAGATGAAATCTTTATTCTAACTAATATAAGTTGCTATTCGTCATTAGACTGTAGAAGTAATTTATAGTAACTAAAGTCCAATAGAACCGTATCTGTATTATTAAGGATTCGAAGTGCTTGAAATGCTAATCGAAGGAAACGTTTGTTTCAGCTGGAGGCGTGCGGCCGACTTCTGTCCTGCGTGCAGAGGCTCTGCAAGAGCGGAAATACAGTCGAAGAGTCCGAGCATCGGATCAACCGGGGTCGAAGGGGCGCACAGGCGGGCCCCGAGCTGGAGGGGCCCTCAGGCTCGGAGGATGGGATCCTCCCGATACCGGTCAGCCCGACACCTGCGTCCACCTCCTCGCAGGAGGACGCCTGCAAGCCACCGCCCCGAAATTGCTACCGTCTCGTCATGCTGGGTAGCGCGCGGGTCGGCAAAACTGCCATTGTAGCACGGTAGGTCTTGGTATCAATGATCGACACCGCCTTAACGTACGTCAGACGATAACAAAATTAACATTTTCTGACTACAGTCAATTATCGATGAGTGTTCGACGGCTCCTCGGCACTGAGTTTTCAGACATTATCCCCACTACTGGGCGCTTAACTAGTTCCACGTGGGACCCCTCAGTGGAGGGATAACGTTTGAACACTCAGTGCCGAGAAGCCTTTGAACACTCATCGATGAATTACTGTAATATTAATCGCTAATGTATCATTTCATCTCTTGTATGATTGCGTTAGAGCTCGTAATCGTTTCTAAGTTTTCAGTTTTAAAGGGAGTGTTGTTTTAGACTTCTGATTATTTCGAGTAAAAATAGAAATGACGCTAATTGTGCATCAATTTAAGTCTGAAATTACCGCACATGTCTTGCAAGTTAGGAGATCATATTTGGAGATCCGACAACGTCTTAGTAATTACATACGCAAGGAAGATGGATAGGGAATAATTGACCAGAGCTGCGCGATATTTTCTGAAACGTCTTAATACAATTTCCTATCTACTGTTGAAGTGGATATCCAATGAGAACTGACGGAAATGAATTTAAAAAGTAATAGGAGCTTAGTTGGTCAGATTGACGACTCCTTGAAAAGCCAAGCGAAGGGCCGAATCAATCACTGTCTTTCTGATTTCGAAGTTACGTCTTTGACGAAGTTGTAGGATGAAGTATACAAGGTTAAATTCGCTGACGGATTGACGATTTTGATTGGTGGTGATTCTGTTCCAAGGGTAACTACATAGCAGCGTTACACTGTCGTATATTCGAACGTTTCCCAAAATCGCAGCTGGGTCCATTAGGGTTCCCTGACCAATTATAACTGCGGTCGATGATCACCGATCACTGACGTCAACATAGGGCCGTACGGAACTGCATCGTCGGACACCTGACGAAACTAAATAGATTCCTCGAACAGGGCTGGTCTTGTACACGAACGTCCGTAACAGCGTCTGCTTCGGATATTATTAGAGTATAATAGGTAGAACACAGGTTACTTAAATGGATACATTAAAGTATCCGTTTGCAACTTTATTTGTTCAAAATATGATGTTCCGTGCGGACATATATATTTTGCGCCAGTTTTTTTTACGAGTGACGTATTATTTTACCCTCTATAGCCCCACGTGACTATAAATTCAGATACCGACATATCGATATTTTTTTTTTTCGCTACATGGCGTCGTGTTCTATAAACACTCATTGGTAACCAATAAGATTCTTTACAGAGATCATCAACTCTAGCTTGAGATATCCAGGTAATAATAAAAACTTGGAAAATTGTAAATTCATTGTTAATTTGTTTTTAGAGGTTGATATTTATTGGTTTCATGTTATAGAAATATTTATTGATAGCCACGAAGATAATTTGTTCACGATGCAATGTATCAAACTCACCGTGTTCAATTAATCGATGAAGCCTACGGTATTCTATGTATCTTCCAAGCCGCGTATTCTTACTACGACGTCATTCTGGAAACAATAGATCCGTCTAGAATACACTCGGACCCCAGAGAACGGTTGATATTTTTCTTTCGAGGGTAGAAAATACGCGATTCGACTTTTCCCTTGGGCACGGACACCGTTGATACCAGGATTATCGTAACCCTTCAGGTACAAGGGAATCGTATACAGGGACGGCGGCATTTAAATAGGACTATTTACATAACTTCGTCGCCTATGGATACACGAAGACGTGTATACTTCGCTCTAGTCAGTTATACCATTTTCGTGAAAGAGAAGTATAACGAAAAGCAAAGAATTTTCGTTAGAAACCATTTATATGTGGAACCCGTAGTTTTCAATCTTTTAACAAAATTGTAGGTATACGTTTTTTCTGCTTTCATACGGTGTGTTTTATGCAGAAAAGTGCTTGCAATTTTCACATCGTGGAAGCAGGCCACTGTTGTTCCATCTCTCGGTATAATTACTTAATTCACCCTTCTTACGCTAAAGTGGCGGGCTTTTTAAACGCCAGACTTTGCTAATTAGCTATGTGTATGTCACTTAAATTAAAGTGTCCGTTCTTAGAGCACCATCAATTTTCACCTATAGTCAAAAATGTATATTAACAGTGAAAGCATAACCGTCCTAAGAAACAAAAAAAAATTACTTTCAATCTATGGAATTTTATGCTTATTAGTAAAAGTAATAACAAAATTTTTACTGTCATTTTTCTATAATGTCGATATCATTCAAATGACTAAGCTTCAACGTCCTGTATGTATGTAAATTTTGCCATATACAACATAAGGATTACAAATTTCATAAAATGAAACGATATTCAAAGTATTTCCCATAGCCGCTTTAAAATTCATTGCTGGCAGTGGTTCGTTTGCAGAAATAACCAGAATTTCTAGTCCATGGTGAACCGCGGAGCGATTCCGTTCCGCGGAATTGTTTCCGCGTAAAAATTTCTTTTTGTTTTCGACCGAAACCGCGTGAACCCCCACCTTCTATTTTCGTTCGAAAAATATCAGCCCCGTTGAAAGCTGTTCGACGTCGAAACGGAAGAAAAAACAACCGGTTGGACGGCTCAACACCGTCGAATAAGGTGGAATCCTTTTTTCACTTTCCTCTCCGTTCGTAACGGTTTGCGGACTAATTGCCGAACGTAATACCTTGAAATGCACGACCGATGAAAACCACCTGTTTCTTCAATTTTTCGCCGGACGTTGATTGTACCGTTCCATCAGACGACATCACGGAGAGAAAAACGATCGATTCACAATGGCACGAGCAACCAACGACGCGGTAGTAATTTATTGCATTCAACAATAGTAGTTCCTGGGTGCAGAAAAAACCCATTCCACTGTTTTCTAACGTCATAGTAATACAGTTCAAATTAAAAATGTCTCCTTATATCGTTAGTAAAATATTGATGAACATTAAGTTCCCACAGATTTTTGATTTTAAAAATATATAATATGAATAAACTTTTGATGTGCCTATATTTAGGATACATTACTGTTTCTAAGAAATACATGCCTGACAGAAGTTATGACAAAGATATGGTAAAATTACACTATGGTCGGAAATTTTTAGCAACCACTACAGTACCACAACAGTATTACTTGCTAAGTCTAATAAAAAATAGACTATAAAGGGAGAGTAATGAAAATATACAGAAACAAATTGAAGTTAATTTCACTTTTTACAAATTGTTCTATATGTTGTGTGCAAGTCCATAACTGGAATAGATTTCTGCACTCCAGAATGTTCGCGAATTCTCGCCTCCACGTTACATATACACGTATCAGTCGATGAAAAAGTGATATTGTGACCTACGACACGAGAACCAATGGAAAACATACACAGTTTGCTTCCCCTACATTGTTTAATACTTTGTCGAACGTGGGACGGTCGATTGCCTGTGGCTGGTCAAACGGCCACTGTGAACCAAGCCCGAATGTATCGGCTCGCTTCCACCTCCCAAAACCAGAAAGCTTTTGACAGGGCGATATTTTTAACCCCCCGGTGCAGGGAGGGTGGGAGAAAATGGTCGGACGCTCGCTAACGGAGTACATGTCACTGATTCAACGGAATGCTCTCTATCGAATTTACCCGAAAATCTCGTCGGTTTAATCAAATGTCCCGTTTAATTTATGGAAAACCGTTATAATCGTGTCATAGAAAAAAGAATACCTTCGTGTCACTACTTTTTAATGTTCAGTATCTCCTAAAGTTAACTTTCCACGATTTATCCTTTACCATGTATAGCGTACTAATCTAGTACTTTACGATTAAAATTACCACAGTTCACCATTAAAAAGTTTTCGAACAATACTAATAAGAAGTAATTAAAGTAGTAACGAGAGTAGTTGCTTCTTCCTAACGCGCCGCCATGTTGTAACACGTGACCTCGGTGAAGTTCTCTCACGATGACAATTTTGTCTTTATTCCACAACGGATAACATAACCACCAGTGTTTCATGATTATCGTAATCAAGGCGAAAAGAATTATTATAAACAGTGGGAAATTATTTAATCATGTTGCCAGTATCAATTATCAAACATTGACTCTCTTATCCGAAAGGAGAGCCATCAAACTCACCGACGAGTCTATCCGCACTTTACCCCACCACCACCAGCACCATTCACGAGCGCAGATCGGATTCCGGTCGGAATTAAATTGTTTGTCCCATTAGCAGCGATCGAATCAGTTCGTTCAAAGCGGTCCCGATTCGAGCCCCGACCATGCGGAACATTCACGCCCGGAATATTCAGAGAGCTCCGACCTCTTCTATTCCCCTGATATCACGGAAGAAACATTTCCGACGACGACACATCGAAAATTCCCGCCCTCCTCCACGGCCTAGACCGTCAGCGCCACTATCGTACTTTCGACCGACTCAGGTACTATTTTAAAACGATCAGGGAGCTAACCGTGAAACTCCATTACCGATTGTTTTTCAACGTTTTTTCCCTTCGATTCGAGTTCGCTAATAACTACTGGAATAAACCTCCAGCGTAGAAATTAGGATGAATCGTAAGACGATCACGGGTAGACGATGAATTCACCGGGAAATTGAACGGGAGGCTGCGAAAGCGTCGCGGGTCCATTAGCAACTTTGCCTCGGAACACGTTGCGCGTTGGCTTGATGAGCCAGAAGACAATGGGACCGAGCATTATATCCATTAAGATTATTCTTGCCGAGTCGAGGAACGAGCTGCATCGAATCCCGTCGCACTGAAGACTTGACATGCGAGTGGAACCATGTGAATGTTATCTCTGAAAGGTGTGAATGGATCGGTGTGCGCTGACTTGGAAGACAGTTGTATAGGTTAGAGTACCGGATGACGTTTGTGTTCTTTAGAGAAAGATATAGGATGCACACAGTTCCTCAAAACGGGTTGCTTCGGTGGAATGAAATCGTTCCTCTACCTTAAAATTAGATGCTCTTTTACAAAGGTAATAATTTTTTGTATATGATTGTAGTATTGTATGTATGTACATATTGTAATAATTCGAGGGTTCACTGCTGCCTCGTCATCCTACGTTGCCCAGTTTAACAGTTTTCTTTAGATCGTAAATAATACTCTTTAGAGGGAAACTGTAAGATAGATAGCTACGTTATACGGGGTAAGGATGGTTTTTTGTATGATAAATGGACGGGAGCATGTGTGCTTCACAGACGAATCAACAATTTAGCGATTGTAATATCGCGGTGTAAAATTTCAACCAAGGCTATACGCAGTGTATGTGTAGCAACGTAACTTTGACTTCTAGATTATGGTGGATTTCCAGTAAAGCTCTTGTAACACAGGGTGCTCTGGCTTCAGGTTTTTGTCCAACAAATTCGAGGAAAGTTATACACCGACGATCGAGGACTTCCACCGAAAGCTCTACAGGATTAGAGGAGAGGTCCATCAGCTTGATCTTCTGGACACGAGCGGAAACCATCCGTTCCCCGCGATGCGACGATTATCCTTCCTAACCGGTAAGTCTATCAGCTTAAATCTACAGAAACGATCGTATAGAAAAGCGATTTCACCGCACACGCTTGTGTAAATACGTATATCGCGGTTTTGATCCCGGCCACTTGACTGGAGCACACACTCCACTTAATAAGATTATATAATAAGGTGTACCTAAACTGTCGAACATTTGAAGGCACATTTCAGTTCTGCTAAAGATAAACGAAACGGGTAATTATAGAATACAAGTGTAGGATAAATGTTTAGAGATTCTTTGTCGAATGGAATCGAACTTATAACATTTTCAGACATTCTTTCGCCCAAGCAACGTTTATTTACTGTTAATTAATAGGGATCTATATGGGAGTAACTGTACTATATTTTCCACCAATCTGGTTATAATATTTTTAAAAACGTGACCAGCCACTGCCAATGTCCACACAAATGAACGCAAGTAGAAGCAGCCACCATTAGTCAGACACTCGACCTAAAGGCCCGTTTACAGGTTCAAAGTTATTTGAACATATAAATGGGCCTTAAGATTCAAATCAATTTTCCTGGGAATCAAGACTTTCTAGGCTAAAATTTTATTCTTCTAAAAGTCTACCCGTCTCAATTCTTCCTCCTATATTTTCTACACTCGGATCTCTCGATTCCTAAGAACAACACGATCCAACTATCGATCGTTCCACTCGCAGACGTACCAAGGAGGCGGAGATAACATCCGTTTCCCAGTTCCCGCCTAAAATACAAATATTTCCCTATAATCCCGTCGTCGCCTGTATGCAAGCTCCCGATTGAACAGGTAATCTGAACAGCCCTGAACGGCGCGTTATCTCCGTGAACGGAAGCTCGTATATCGCGGAACACGCGAGCGCAATAACCGTCGCAGGTGGAAACAAGAGGGGAAGCATTGTTTGAGTCCGAAGGCGAAGACAGCAGCACGCAATTGAGCTCATGTGGTGACCAGGGGGTAGTTCGTTGACCGACACGGTCCTCCGTTTGCGAGATTACACTTGACGTATCAACCGACAAACCGGATGGAGCGACCCGCGGTGATGGAGCACGGTAATCTTCATTCGGGCCCCGGGAAACCGGGAAATGAGACAGGCGAGAGGAATTTCTGGAAGATGTGGAGGATAGAGCGGAGAGGAACGGCTGCGAAAAGCCGCGGAGACGCTGGGGGATCGATCAAAATTAAGATCTATTCCAGAGACGGGCACGTTCTTGGATAATAAGAGCCACGTATAAAAATACATTTTTAAATGTTTAAGAGGCACAGAAATAAAATATTCTCATATTGGTACATAGTATATTAGTTTAGATTATTAATATAAAAGTTTAGGAAAAATGGCTATGCTATTGATATCTTCAGACGTGAATGGTAGAACTTTTTCTGGCTAGGAAGGAAGAGTGTTATGTAAGAATGGAAGCGAAATGGATGTGTGCGTTTTTGTGTGGAAGAGAGGGACGTAGGGGGAAAGCGTCAGCGAAGGGACAAAAATAATGTTGAGGGCGAACAGGGAGCTGAATACAGAGTGCTGAGGTTTGTATAAGACATTAGATATAATATTCAGGAATTTACATTTAAGTATATTCATCCTCTCCCCGATTCTCCATCTCATTATCCCTTTATTTCAACATTACCTTACACAAATCTAAAATTGTAAGAGAGAACGTCCGATTTTCTTGCTTTTCTTTTCATGTAATACGATGGCCAATGGCATGTCAATAACATAACAGTATTGTATTAACCCTTTGCACTCGGAATTTCTAATTTTCCATACATTTTGTCGCTTTAGAGGCGACAGTCGAGTGCAAAGGGTTAATATTATAAATGTTCAAAACAGGCTCTTGTACGCTGTTCCTTTTTTGCCCTCTACTTTTTATTTATTCTGTGAATTTTTATGTGCATCGATTCTTTGATGAACACCAGAATGCGAGACAAGTTTTCTTTGACCGTTCAGGATTTCATTGCGCTAAAAATAAAGAAAATGGATATTAAGCTTTGTCGAAGGATGAGTTCCGTTGTAGTAGATCGAATGCTTTTGCCGTACAGTGTATGATAGAATGCAATATAGATATAGTATGATCATTGCAGAGGACAAAGTGAATATGCATGTATGTAAAGAGGTAAAGGAAGGCATCAAGAAAAGAGTGACTATGCATAATAAATGAACAATAAGGCTCAGCAGGATAAAAGTCCACTGTTCTGAAGCCTAACACTGCAGAAGTTACATTAGACATCGTAGCACATGTAAGATCCATTAAAATTGGACTCATTCTTTACTACATTATTATAATATTGAAAACACCACCTGCAGTAGCACAGGCACAGCAACCTAAAAAAAATAACAGTAAACCTGAAAGTAACACGTTCGTTACAATATGTAAATAACTCTTTGCCAAATCGTAATAAACGTGCAAACACATCCTCTCAACAGATCAAATAATAGACGCAAAAATCGAGAACATCCAAACACGTCTCATAATTCGCAATCAGCAACATTTAACCACGCGATTATAAAAACAATTAACCACATCCAACCGAAAGGAGAACAGCATCAAAGGCACAAGTTAGCTGTATCCCAATTCACCCGAGGCGAACATCATAAAACCGTCAAACAGCACGCCCCATTCATAACTAAACTAATTACTCGATTTACCATCTCTCGGCCAAAGTTATCGAGTTCCCCCGTGAAAGTTCATACTGACTTTCAACGGAATATTAAACTCACCGTCCAAAATATTCCTGTATTTTCACCCCCTCCGCCGAAACAGAAACCACGTGTGCTCATTTTTCGCGAAAATTCGAACGATCGTATTCCATCGCACGCTTCCTCACCACCAGACACTCTATTCCCCTTGCCCACGCGTATTCACCGCGAAAAGGTGAACGTCGCAAATATTTGCTCTCCGTGTTTGGCAAAATTGCGGAGAATCTGTGGGAGATCGCCAGGCGAACGATTTCCGCGTGTATCGAACGACCTGAAACCAAAATCCACTCGAAAAGCAACTCGAACTGGAAGCACACTGGTCCAGAATCAGAATTTAGTAGATCATATACGCTTATTTAGCTTAAACAATCAAACATTTCGAAACTTGTTAATATTATTCGAATAAAAGTAGATAAATGAACAACTTTTTATCAATTTTAGGAATCCCTTTCGATAACTTCAACATTCACTACCAGTGTTTTCAATATCATCACGAAAATTTAAACTTTTAAGGAATTTTTTCTTCTATTTTTGACTGAGGATCGACGATACGAAAGGGTCTAAAGGGAACAGTGATGCACGGAACAAATGTTCTGTAATTAATAATAAGTTGATGCAAATTCTGTGGAAGATAAAAGAAATTATTTTTCACCATTGGAACTGCTAAATTTTGATTCTGGAGCACTGTGTAGAGGGAGGGGGCACCCGTATTCGTTGCGGCCTGGAATTTACGAGCGACGGATATTTCGGGCAATATCGGGGCTCGATCGAGCGTGCTTCGAGCTGCTCCCTGGAACTCTCGAGGCGGGTTAGTGCTGAATCGAAGAAAGGATACTCAACAAGTTGCGAAAGGAGGTCTCTCGACGTGACAGGGTTGTGGGCGAGAGGATGGAAACCGCTGCTGGCATGCGAAAAGCGTATTTACTCAGCAAGGACCTGATTCACGAATTGTGTTTCTTGGCTCGACGAACCCGTAGATGACGATCTCCTCAAGAAAAAAAAGTTATAGTGAGTTGTGGTTTTTGGTTGGTTGATTTATAGTTGAAGCTGTGTTATCGACGGTGCAACTGACAGACGGGTGACCCTCACAGACTTCTATTATACAGGATAGGCCATGAAACGTGATCATCTTAGATTATTCTACTGCTAGCTGTGCGATCAAAATTCTTTTTAGGTAGTATAACATGATTCAGGGAAAGCTTTATGATGATTGTACTAAATTTTTTGTCAAACCTTTTTTCAAGGACACTTTCAGTTTTTTTTATAGATAAACCTATCATTTTTTTACGCCCACCTTTTAGCCGGTTCTGAGACGAATTCGGCAAGCACCATAACAAATAATTGTAAGCAGAAGCATTTACCGTAGTAATTACTGTACATACGCGTGAAATGCGTCTGACGATGACGGATTATTCTACTTAAAAGGCGCGCTTTTCTACTGTTCCATGAGTTGGTTCAATTCATTTCGTTTTATTGCATTCATTAGTTTCGCCAGGTCCTCGATCCAGCTCGTCTGTCAGCTAGATCTGTCACGTGGTACATTTCATGCAAAAACTTCCACAACTTTAATCCATTTGCACGCAAGAAGCGGAATATTTCATGACTGAGGCCATTCTGTACCCATTGCTTCGGAAACAAACTTCATAGTTGTCAATAACGAGCAAACTCTGCTTCAGAGGAAAAATCAATGGAAGGTTAAGAGTCTCCTACCGTTAAAAAAAAAAAAAAAATGTTAAACCGAATGTTAATTTGGCATAAATTCCAGTAACTCCGAGACAAAATGGTAGGAGGTCTTTCCCTTACATCACTTTTTCCCCTACAGGAAACCGAGTTTGCTCGTCAGTGTACATAATAAATCGTCCTCTAATGCAGTGACTCCAAATTCCCAGTATCTTTTTTACTCCCCGAGTCATCGAGCCTCCGCCCCGTTCGGTCACGTAAGGACAACGTGTAATATCGACGAAAGAATAGCGTGTGCCCAAGAAACAGTTTTGCAATTCCAACGTACCGCTTTCCCGCCTCGGAAAAATGCATCCGTGTGTCACGCATGCTGCACGTGACGGGATCGTAACACGACGGTGTACGCGTATCTGGGCGACGCGGCGTGCGTATACGTGTATTGATCATGCGGCTTTGTACCGCACGCACGCGTCACGTGTTCTACGTGCACCGTACGGCCGCCACCACGTGAACCCTTCACGGGCATCGGGTCCACGAATTATTGAATTGACGGGCGCGACCATGGAAAGAGGGCGAGAAACCTCACTGTTATTGTCCTACGAATTTTGCATATTTCCTTCCTAACG